AAAAAAAAAAAAAAAAAAAAAGGAAGGATGACAATGACGGTAATGATATTGTACTCACCCGAACATTATGAAGCTTGACAAACAGGGACAATATCGTAGTCAAAACCAACGGTTCCTATGAGAGACCAAGAGGGGGAAAAAGAAAAAAAAAGAAACAAACAAACTTACAAGAATACACAACAGTCCATTTTCTCCTCAACCTCTGGAACTGCCAAAATCCCTACATTCATAGGGCTTTTATATAATTTTGTTAGGACTCTTGCAACACAGAAAATTGTTCACAACAGTTGTGTGGAAAGACATTAAGTAAGGGAATGTTATCCTGAGTAGTTCAGTAAACAAACTTTATTTTAGGCCATCATGTATATTTGCCTCTCCTCTGGCTGCTTTGTCTCTAAACTGTGGTTCTCAATTAATAAAACACATTTCTTTCTGATGTGTGCATGTTTTCACTGTAATCCAAACAGCAGCTACCTTCTCACCCCAAAAACTGCTTAGATTGTGTTGCACAACACAGCACATAGAGGCCTTCAAGGTAAAGGGGAGGAAGTTGGTTTGAAAGGAAGAAAAAAGCAAGTTCACTCAACTGTATTTGTACGAATAGAAGATTCATGCAGTACCTAGGGTACAAGCTTATCAAAAACCCACTGTGACCAAAACTTTAAAGACATGTGACACATCTTGACTAATTTGATTTTACTGTGGGCAAAAGTGGAGCAGACACATGACATACAACCTTGCAGCAGAGTAAGTCACCCTGCTCCAGGGTAAAGTTACCCATAGGAAAGAGTATCAGTGCACTGGTGTATATCAGGTATGTGCTTGCAGCTCTAATCAATGCATTCCCAGGATAGCCATTTACACAGGACAAAATAAGCTCTTTATTACCCTGCTCCTACTGGCAGGGCATAGTGACAGTGATGACCAGGCAGCTTCCTCTAGAGAGCTGGTCATGGGCCTGCTGTGAACACCAGTATAAACTTAATTGTGGAGTAAAAGCCCCAAGGTAAACACATTGTGTGTCACCATCCAAAATCCCTAACATTAGAAGCTGGTGGAGTTTCAATCAAGTAATTCAGCACAACTTGTACTGGCTAGTAAGGTAAATCTCTAATTAAATCATATGCCATACAAAGCATCTACATTTCCACAGTTTCATGGGAAATGAAGTCCAGTGAAATATAATACCAAAACAGAAACAGACTTTGAAGCTCATGATTTAACTTACCCGTAGCTTTTTGATAAAAGAGAGTAATTCACTCCTAAAGAAAGATACAAACACATACATAAGGAATCAGAATAATATCATCCATTAGAAAGAACACAGGCAATTAGCCTGATTGACTCTACAGGTGGGAACATTTTCAGTTACAGCTCTGCATATTAGGATACATGTTCTATTCCAATGCAACTATTGGGCTGTTCCATTTTAAAAGTTTCACAAAATGTCTTTTTTGTTTTTAGTTATACTTTTCATTTAGTTATTTTTCTCATATTTATTTGTACAGAGGGTGAGAAGAAGGTGCCTTGCATAGACAAAGGTACTCTGTAGCCCCTTATCCAGTACATGGAGTCCCTTATACTACTGGAAAAAAAAATTCTCAACCAGTAAAGCTTGTCATGTAATCTTCATGAAAAGCAGAGCTACCACCCTAACTGTCTTAATTAGAAGAATAATCATATCAGGTTCAGTGTCTCAGAATATAACTAGGCCTTGTCCCTCTGGCTTCAAGAAATTATGTCACCAAAGCTACTTAAAAGAAAGGGCAAGCCTATGTATTCCAAAACTGCACAAAAAGGCAAAGCAACCTGCTTTTTAGATATAAATTAAATTAGTGTAAGAGTTACCAAAGAACAGTTCCTGGAGTTCTTAAAGTGCCACCATTCCAAAGCTCTAACATGGAGGGGCTGACCTAAGTTAGAGGCCCCAATGAGTAGCAGAAGGCTCGAAGCAACCTTGAACTCCATACTAGCTGCAAAAGCCTCTCAAGTTGGGAAAAAGTGACGATACCTCTGCATTAACTAGATTAGAACAGGGGTTAGCAACAGTTTTGGGCCAGAGTACCAAAAATACCCCAACCTCGACTTATAAAATGCTGGCGCAGATGGCGGGGTAGCTGAAAGGGGCCTGATCTTTGTTACAGCAGCAGCAGCACAGCTGTGGCCCTTTCCCCACCATCCACCCAGAGACACACATGCACCCGCCACCAGTAACAAGCCTGGCTGGGTGCAGCAGCTTGCAGCCTCCACACTGCCTGCTGCAAGCAGCCTGGGCTCCATGGCAGGTGGCAGAGGACTGCCCAGAGCCCAGGCTGGCTGTGGCAGGCAGCCAGGAAACAGCAAGCCCCTGCCCCAAGGTCTGTGGAGCCCTGGCCAGGCTTGCTGCTGGCAGTGAGTATGTAGGCCTCTGGGTGGATGGCAGGGCAGCTGCAAAGAGTCTGATCCTTGTTGTGGCAGCACAGATCTGGCCTGCCCCAAGGCACGTGCACCAAGCAAAACGCCTTCACGTGTCACACTCTCGCACACTTGCTGGGGGTTGCCAACCCCTGGATTCGAAGATGTCTGTTGACTAATGGTGAAACCTACTGGAGCCAACAAAAAATTTTTTTTACTGACAAGGTGATTCACGGCTCCACTGAAGTCTATTTTCTGAGAATAGTCTTGATTCAACAATCAATAAAGCCATATTAATGCCAATACCTAGAAGTTGCCAAGGGCAGCTGAGAGATGCAAAGATGATTTTTTTTTAAAATCAGCCTTTCAATTCCATATTTGGTACTGTCTTCCAGTCAGGAATTGCCTGCATTCAGCAACTGGATTAGTTGTAATGTCCTGGTGGTATTAACCAGATGAACAATCCATGGACACTTACCTGTACATAATGCCCAATGTAGATTCTCTGTGCTTGATTAAGCTTACTCTACCATCATTGCCTCGCTTGTGCTGGTTAGATACACTGCAGATCTGCACAACCACTTCCCAAAGGTCTTTAGCTGTCCGTCTACTTTCCTTGGGCCCTGGAAGTTCTTTGCATGTAGCAGCCAAGAGCTGTCCTAACTATGCAAGATGAAACAAAAAAAGTACTGGGGTTAGATCTCCTCTGCATTTTAACAAGGAGTAATAGTGACTTTTGATATTTGTGTTAAAGACCTAATTAGGCCTTACTTTGTACTTCATAAGCAAAGGGGGAACTAAACTTTGCAACTGGCAAAGTTGCAAAGTTACTGCAGGCTATACCAAACATGAGTAAAATCAGACTGTTAACACCTTTATTTTTAATAATGTAGTGCATTCTAGGAAAACTGAAGTTCCCAGTAAACAACACTTCATTTTTGATACAAACACACTTCCATGTCACACTGCAATACTACAGGCTGCATTTCACTATCCCTGCTATATGGAACAATTGGAAGGCACAATCTGAAGTTAAAAACCAAGGTTAAAAATCTGAAGAGTAACTGCAAAGTGGACAGAATGGACCAGAGCAAAAATTTTCAGCACAGAATACAATGTGAGCATCTTGCTCCAATTTAATAACCTAACTTTAAGTACATGTAACATTGCTGCAAAACCCAAATAGTCTTAAAACTTGAAACTTCAAATGGAATACATTTGAACTGCACGGCAGTATTTAACTTTGTCAAACGATTAAAAAAAACTGTAAAAAATTGAGACCTACACTAGGTAAACTAAATGCTCTAAACACATTACAGAATTAAGGCCTGATTCTTAACTCTTCATGCTCCCTGCATGTACCACTTAAATAATTTGTGCTTCAACTGTAACTACAGGGAACCAACTGATCGTTAATGTCTCACATATGTTAGATAACCGTGAAACCAGCTTGCTAGCAAGTTACCAGGTAAGGTGGTTATAAGCTGTGTCTCTTGTCTCAGCTGTTCTTACAGCTTTGGGGCTAATCTTACTGAACCTCAACCAAACTGTACCATACATTTAACATGTACTATATGTCAACACATTTGGTTTATTGGAAGGTCTCCTTTATTCATAAATAAAGTTAGAACTAAACAGGAGAGAAACAAGAGGTAATGACACATGCCTCTGCAAAAACAGGGTCCTTAAAAAAAAAAAAGAGTCAGATTTTGGCACCTTTCCCCTTTAAGACTGAATATCCATTACCTTCACATAAGGATTAGTCTGGACCAGAGGTAAAGGAACTTGCATTGTTAAGTATTCATTCTCTCTCCAGTTTAACAAGAAGGCAACACATTCTTCTGCTATGACCTGGCGAAGGGGAATATCTAGAAGATACATAGTTTTAAAAGTTAACCCACTGACTTATAACACCGAATTGATTCCATCCCCCCACTAACTGCCCCCTTTCTCCCTGCTGCCCTCCCTCAAACCCTCAGCATCAAATGACAAGTGGCTGGGAAAACATGGAATTAATTACCATTAACACCAGGAATTCTGTGGATAAAACTACTCAAAATCTATCTGCCACTTTAGATGCATATATTTTATAGTAGCAAACATGAGCACCAGCAACTTCAATTGTAGGTTTGGATAATCAGTACTTAAAAGTCAGGCTCACAGGAATCAGATGATAGCCAACCATTTTCAGCAGTCATTTGCCAAAGTGGTTCTTGCTAACAGTACAGAACAACAGTACCTTTTTCAGACTTGGTCTTTTGATTCATCCTGCCTTCTGGAGAGGCAGTTTCTCCCTCAACTCTCACACACTATCAAACTTAGCCAAGATAAAGCTGCAGCTACCGTAAAATTTGTATTAGCTCCCCCTCCTTGTACTGCTACCCACCCTGTCCCAAGCACAGCTCAGCTCAGCCCCCACTGGGAAGAACCCAGTTTGGCCCCAGCCCGTACCTACAGCTCGCCTGCACCCTGTGCGCAGATCTGGGGGCACCCCCATGCCCTCCTGGAGTGAAGGCAACAAATGGCAGGCAATGCCTCTCCCCCTCCCTGCACAAGCTGCAGCTCCATCCTGTACCCCACAGTCTGTGCCGTGAATGCTTCTGCTATTGCCTCAAACTTGCAACCTTTGGGCTGTCTACTGTGTGCCTGCACCCCAGTCCCCTCCTGAGAGACTGATCAACAATATTCTTACCAGGTACTCTCATTTCCAAATATCCTCGGACTCTGCTTATCAGATCAGAGGGAGGACGTTCTCCAGAAACTCCTGCTCCTGCTTCATGAGTGTAAATGTCCAAGAGCAGCATTTCATTCAGCATGACCTGACGCAGCTTTGGAGAAAACTCTGTCACGAGCTCCAGGCAAGCAGCAAAAAGCTGCTTTGCATGGACAAAATCCTGTAATAAAAACATAGCAACCGAGAAACACATCATTACTTCTACTTAGTCATATTTATGTGAAGAAATGTATGTGAAGTTTACATGAAAAAATAAAAAGAGCGCTGAAATATTGCTTAGTGATTCAAGCTTTGGCACTCGTGTAATGCCAGTTGCGGGCCCTTGGCATTGCTTAACATAACCTTTGCATATTGTCAACAAGCTTCAGATCGATGTGATACAGTGTAAATTACCAGAATTCTAGAGTTGTTCAAGCAAAAAAAGTTTACACAGAAAGATGTACCAAAAAAACAAACAAACTCAATGCACATTCTAGGGCTCTCTAATCCTGTGGTTCATTAGCCAGGGGCTTTAGGGCAATGAACAGTTTTTTCATCTAATACACATTTGGTAAAACAGACAGCCAAAGGCTTGGCTAGCTGTAGCACTGTGGCATAAAACAGACTTAGGTACATTACTGCATTAATCATTAATATATTTTGGTAAGTCTAAAGCAAGACTCCACATAAATGAATTTACTCTTCCTCACAACTTTCCAGTAAGTTGAGTATTGCTTCTATTTTATTATTGAGGTAGGAAGACAAAGTAGTACTAAATGGCTTGCTCAGGACCATGTTTCATGTTATTCTTAGCTTGTTAAATGCACTTAACACAAGAGTAGCTGTATGTTCAAGCAGTAGAATGTGTGCTAAGTGTACTTGTATTGTAGCAAAGTTATGACTTTTCCCATGAGGCGCATCTCCAGACTGTATTAAGTAATATGAGCTCAACTGTTGTTGGGCTGCTTCATGGAGATAATATGAGCAATTTCTGGTCCTCACTCACATGTGACATCAACTAGGAATCCCTCTGCTGTGCTAAGCCTCTAGTCCAGGTGGGACAAGGACAGCCACAAGGGTCATGAGGAAGGATCCTGGTTCTTTCACTTGTCAGGTTCCTCCAGGATCAAGTTGAAAGCTGGGTGCCCACAGCCCCAGAGGGTCCCAGGGCTTGGACCAACAATCAATGAGCAGTGCATGTTAGAGATGGCAATAAACATTACCATGTGACTCGTCAGAACACATTCTAACTTTAATACTGCACAGATTTAACATGTACTAAGTGTCCTGTACGACAAAGCCCTCTAATTACACCGAAACCTACTACAATGGTATAGCTATATCCCTTTAAAATAGCATTCTGTTTCCTTTTGTCGGTTACAAAAGCACAGCACCTTTTTCAGTGTTTACTAGATAAAAATACATTGCTGTACAGTAAAATATTCAAGTAAAGAACAGCTTAACAAGTATACTGCAACCAGCTCTTACTGGAAAATGGGATGTTCTTATGGGACAATGATTTTTATCCTTAACCATCAAAACATGCACTTATTAATGCCTATATGATTTGCTCACCTTAATTGCACTGCAGTGTAACCCTTTTGCCATCAGGATGTAGACCAAATCTCTGGTCAAATTGTCCTTAATTCCTAAGATAACGTTGCCATAAACATTTGGTACTTCCCACTAAGAGAGAAATGTGTTAAACGTAACTCAAAACAGGAAGACTTTTTGGAACTAATCAAGTCACTTATAAATGTTAGTGACATTCTTACTGAAAGCCACATCCAAGTTCCAGCTCAACATACACATTTGGGATTTAAAAAAAAAAAAATAAATTAGTCTTTGCATCCAGAAAAATCTCATTATACAGATAAATTTGTATTGGAAATCCCCTGCAAGTAGATACATTAGTAGTAGTTACCACAAGAAAATATATAAGGAATCCCTACATTCCCTACATGAAGCTTCAACAGAATATTTAAGAGCTCAAAAGAAAAATGCCCTTAACTCTTCAGGTTAGCTTGACAGTTTAGGATAACTCTTTATATAATATAAAAATGCCATACTGGCTTAGACCAATGGTCCATCTACCCAAGTACCCTGGCTCCCACGGTGGCAAATAGTAGATGCTTTAGGAGGGAGAGTATATGTACACGGCATATCTAATGTAATCCATTCCCTGTCATACCCTCCTTGGCATCAATCATAACTGGTTTAGGGATAATCAGAGGATACACCCTTGACTGTTCTATTTAATAGCTCTCGATTGACCCGTCCTCCATAAAGCTGTTTAACCCAGCGATTCTCAGCGAGGGTGCCAGGGCACCCTGGGGTATTGCCAGATCTTTTGAAGGGTGCTGTGAGATGCAAGAATGTAAGTGAGGTGTCACAAGATAAACAGATAAACTAAGCAGATAACTGCAGGCTCATGCTTGTCCCTGCCTGGATAAGCCCCCATTTCTATTGCCAGGCCCCTCCGCAAGGAAGTAAGCACTGTAATCTATAAATTAGTTTTTGAAAATGGGTCTGCTCATTTCACAAGTTATGGAGGAGACCATGTCTGTGCTTCAAGTCCAATGAGAGGTGCCTCAAGTATAAAAAGGTTGAGAACCACTGCTCTAACCCCTTTTTTGAATAAGGTTATACTATCTGCCTCTGCATCCATCTGTGGCAACAAGTTCCACAAGCTAACTACATGCTGCTAATTCCAGTAGATGGCCCCCATTCTTTTACTAATGACTATTAGTAAATTTCAGGAATTTAAGCAAGAGCATACAAATTGGTATTTCTTTAGGCATCATGCTTAAAGCAACAACAGAAAACCTGGTTTTCCCAGCACTAAAGACTGCATCTTACAGCCAGTTACATGCTGAAAAAAAATTCTAATTCAGTGAGGCAAGTAACAAGCATAATGGTGGGGGGGGAAATGCAATAATTCTCTGAACTTAGAGAATTTTTTAACAATGAGTTCTTAGATATATGCCTTATCAACATCATCATGAAGACAGGGAAGATGGACATGGAAGTCAAACAAGTTACACAAGATCAAACTGCACGTTTGTGGCAGAGCAACAATGAGAACTCAGTAATTATGCCAGCTAGTCCCCCCTCCTCCAATTACTAATCACATTACCCCATAAAAGGAGCTTACTGTGTCCTCTCAGCTGTTATGAAGTACATTACCTTGCAAGAAACTGTCCAGAACTGGCGTTCCGAAGTCATGCCATGTAACTCAATTAAAATCTGACGAATCCTCCAAGGATCCACTGATAATATAAGCTGATGTTCCAGCTGGCCAATACTGACACTTGCTGATGCTAGCATGAAAGATGGGGAGGTCTGCAGTTTTATTTACCTGTTATACAAGTCCTTTGGCACACAGACAAAATTTAAGAACACAATCCACTCGGGGATCCCATGTTTTGCTTCTCCTGTGAACCAAGCACCTATTTCACGCCAGGGGCTCCTTATTTTTCTCTATTTCCCGTCTTCACCTTTCCATGTCACTTCCCTATCACCCTTCAAATTGAATGGCTCCTTACAATGTCCCATAAGCCAGGGCTTCCCATTTTTCCCTCCCAAGCCAAAGGCTCTGTGTGTATTACCCTGGAATGAAACTGAAGAATGCCATGCACATAGAAACAACAATAAAACTTTATTCACTAGGAGCTCATCAGTTGAGAACACCTAAGGAGAAGGTGACTCTTGCTACACTACCTGGCCACAGTAGCTGTTAAAAAGCTGCTATGATCCTATTACATACCAGGAGAGGTACTTTCAGAAAAGATAGAAAAGTATCAGTGCCAAAACACCAGACAGTGGTGAGACTGATGAGGGAAATGGCAAACCTATCACACAAGGGACCAGAAGAGCTTGGTATGTTTAGCAAAACAGCAACTGACAGCAGTATGATCCAATTACTCCTTTAACATAGTTATCAACAACAAATACCAGGGAAAGAGAAGAAACATTTAAGTTCACAGACTACCCACCTACCACAAAAGTGCTACAAAAACAAGTCAGCCAGAAGTAAATTTATGCAGGAGATCAGAAGGTCCTAATCATTAGAGAAGTGGCTCTGGAACAGCATTCCAACCAAAGTAGTAGAAACAAAAAAACCTAACTGTTTTTAAGATGGAGCTTAACAAGTTAACAAAGGGAACTACACGACAGTGCCTGTGATAGAGAAGAAGGCACTCTATGATCAAAGAGGTCCCTTCCAACTGTGTGCTCCTTTATTAGAACTCTATGAAACTGACCTGGGATATCATAAAATGAAGTCACAGGTTTGGTGCACAGATTGATTCGAGGGGACCTTTTCCTCATCTGGTCAATGAGCAGCTTCCGTTCATCATCTTTCAGGAGCGTTATGAAGAGCTCATGAGAAGAAATCATAAAGACAAGCTGAAGATCCTCCAAACCCAAACACAAATTCCTGAGCAAGTTTAAAAAGATATCCATTAGCAGGACAACTAGTATAAAGTTCTTATTTTTACTGCCTGCATATGACATTTTTAGTAACCTTCTATATTTGCTTTACCTGCAGGTAAAGATTTGAAAGAGATTCAATTTTGTGGAAATGTACTAATTGGTCATTTATTTACAGGGCTTTCCACGGACCCATTCAATCACTGCAGAGATGTTAATAAGTCTATCCATCTCCTGAACATCATCTTGAGATTTGTAGTTGATACGGAATCAAGGCAGTAACACCACAACATACTTATCCAACATCTCTCTTGGAGGGTTTGTAGTGCAGACAGAAACAGAATGTACGTCACCCAATTCTTCAGCTAGCACAAATGTGTTAACAGTAGATGTATTAACTCCAGTTTCTACTTAAATTAGCTTGGTTAATTCCACCACAACCAAAGAATTCCTGCCTTGAAATGTACTGTGCCTGCTAACTGCTGTTCTTCTGGGTCAAGAACTCAGTTTCCTTTGGGAGCTAATATTTGATGGAGATGTGTGGAGCGTTTCTGATTTTTTTAATAGGATTTAACATGCATAGCTCTTGGGCGGACCCAGCAGTTGTGCAATAAGTTGACAGAGAATTTGATTCATCTTCTGTTTTGGCTGCAGCAATGTCTTAACAGGCTAAGAAACCTATGCAGCCTTCAAGGGAGCAGTGTTAGGCATTTTCCTGTAATAACTCTGGTAGGTGTTGCAAAACTACATTCATGATTTCTGGAATGGGCCACATCCAAGTTTATTTGGCCACAAAGGATGGGACTCAGAACTTTGAAAAAAGTAGTGAGAAAATAAGGATGGGAAGGAGGAGGAGAGTAGGGGAAAATGATTTTGAGAGGTATGCAAGAGATGGATGAAAAAAAAAAAAAATCTAGTCTCTTGGCTAATTCATGAAGAGTTAAACATTCTGTTTTACAAGCTAGGTGTTGTAAAGGCCAAGTAGTTTAATGCCAGGTACTTACCTGAGAAAAGCTGCCATTTTTCTTTGTGAAGATTCTGAAGCATGTTCTAAATGTATTGACCTTGAACACACCTAGGAAGAATAAGAATTAAATCATTAAGCTTCAATAGGAATGCCTTTTTCAACTGGTTACACATTTTGTACATTTTCCACAAGTTTTGTTCACAGCAGTAATGATCACTATATACAAATGCCACTCATCTGGGGGAAGAAAACCAGCTAGTATAGCCACCCTCCAAATACAGTAAATACAGGAGAAAAAAAAATCACAGAAGATGAGAGCTAGTATTTAATCCTGCATATAAAAAGGAAAGAGATTATTTCACCTTGCACCCTCACTAATCTCTGCTGGCTCAGGAGATGAAAGGTCAGCTCCTCAGTAAGGATAAAAGGAGAGGTTGAGAGTGATCTCCAGCTATATTTCTCTTCAGCTTTCAACTGGCCTTACTAGGAAGCCGACAGATCCCTCAACTCCTACAATTTTCTCCATCCCTACAGAGTCAAGTCCTTGTTGTTCTCTTCATCCAGTTTAGCAGATGGCAAGCTGGATCTGGGGGATATTTTACATGGCTTATTACAAAAGTTTGTCAGAGGAAAGATATCCTGGCTGTTCCTGTTTGAGTCCTACAGAACAGTACGGAAAGAAACCCAGTCTCAGCCATCTCTCTACTTCCGTTTTCACCCTATTAAAAGACCAGTGGGAGAAATCTGAATTGTTCTCCCTGTCTGTTCCTTCTCTCCCCATAGCCTGCTGAAGAGGCTTTGGAGGATGGGATACCCTCTTCCTACAACTGTTCTTTCTGGGCCTATTATCCAGGATACTTCTGTAAAATTTAAAAGAAGAAAAATACCCCACAAATTAACTGAAGGAAAAAACACACATGCCGCCACCTATTGGAAATATCAGCAGCTCCAATGTTATGTCTCAAGAAATGCACTTTAAATTGCCCTTGTGTATGTGATAGAAGTGAAACTGTCTACACAAAAAGTGCTCTCAAAATGTACAAAGAAAGCTCAAAAATAGAGGAAAGAATAGTTTTTTCTAAATTTAGAAATCTTAGGGTGTTTTTTGCAAAAATAATAAACGCACAAGTAGACTTTTTGGTTACCAGTTATTTGCAGGCTGAAGACAATCATTTCTTACCTCAAGAAGAAAATCTATTTTTTCTTTGTTGGGTTTAAGAAACAGCTGGTTGAACTGAATGTCAATCATTCGACCCTGCATTACATCACAAACAGTGTTGCATGCACAGACTTTGAAACAAATTTCATCCAGAGCATCATTCCTGAATAAACGAAAAAGGGAAAGATTACAGAACTTTGAGACATGAAGGTAGGGTTCCACGTGATATCTGATATTTTAAGCATAGCACTCTCCAACTCCACTCAAAAAGTATCTACATAGCATTGGCTTTATATATTTGTATTCCGAGTAGTAATCTGGACCCCAGTCAGATTAAGACTGCTGTCAAAATTCCTGAAAAGTGCCACATCTCCTCTAGTACCACTGTTTTTAAATGGTTTGCCTAGTTAGCTTCAACCCTGGCTGCAGGTTTGAGGAAAGTTTTTACAAGGCCTTTACAGACTAGTTACAATTAATGCAGGGGGAAGAAAATAGGTGTGACAATTCTGCTGTTACAACAGCTATTCCTTTCTGCCTTTCCACTGATGTTCTCACGTATGAAAATGTAGCAGGGATGAGGAATTCTGTCCTGTATGATCATAGTGATATATGTACACAGAGTTGATTTTGCAACAGATTTTCAGTTTAAAAGAAAATCAATCATGACCTTTCTCCCAACTAATTATGTCAAATGATTTCAGACATAACTAATACACTGAAACTAAAAAGCAATGATATTTCATTCAAGTGAGAATGTCTTACCCTTGTTGAGCTTTTTGGAAGAGTTCTCTCAGCACTGAGTGTCTGAACTGAATAGGTAAACTGAGAGTTAAGTTATCTTCAAGGAAGATCTTCACTAGCTCCTGGAATATAACACACAATTAGAGTACTCTCTCAAAAATAAGCAGATGCATATTTTTGCATACCTAATGTCTACCTAATGGAATTGATCATACTACATAGTCAAATATTTGTACAAATAATTCGTGCCCATGTGAGACTTCGGAAAGACTACGAAAGAGTTGTGCTTTAACTAACTAATAAGGAAGAAGTCATACATGTTGTACAGCTCAAGAAATGAAAGCACACAAAACTGAAGTTCCTCTTTCCGCATCCAAGTGAAGCACAGGATCTGGAAGAAAACCTATGTATCTTTTTTGCAAACCACCCCATTATAAGTAGTCTTGTGTACTGTTTCTTTGATACAAATCTTAGGCATCAACTGGCTGGGGCTTTTTTGGATTATTCAAAGCCAATACACGTTAATATAAATTTACATCAATAAAAAAAATAGGGTTACACATAGTAGTCAACTTGTTCTCAGAAAAGCTCCACAGCTGAATTCACCATTTCAACTTACTGAATGTGCATTCATAAAACTCTAAGGTGATTTTCTAATATTCTACCTGATAGTTGCCAGATTTCATACAGCTATGGATTTGACTGTAAGGAGTTGACTGCTGTGATGCATTATCAGAAGATGAGGTAAGAACTCCACAAGCTTGACAGTACCCAGCTAACCTCTTCTCATCTATGGTGCAATGAAGTGATGAAGAAGCAATCTGTAAAACAAAAGTGCATCATGTTTTAGCTACTTTGTCTTAATGAATTATGGACTTAATCCTGAGTAGTGTTGAGCCCCACACATTTCTACTGATAACCACTGAAAAGGAAAGACTTCCAAAGATTCAGTTAAATTTGTATCCATTTAAACTTTACTCCAAGCTTAGACAACAGAAGGTAGGTTTCACTTTATTTCATATTTGCATTCATGTTTGCAGAGAAGAGTTTTTGAAAGGAGGACGGCCAACCTTCAGCAGCGGTGCCACAAACGGCATGGGCACATAGATCAGCGAGAGGACAGGCAGCACAGCAGCAGATCAGGTGGGGAGTAGGAAGCAGAGCAGCAGATCAGGCAGGGAAAGGGAATTTAGAGTGGCACTTAGGGAGGGTGTGGGGCCAACTTGTGGCATGTCTGCCAAAAAGGTTGGCCTCCCCATTGTAAATATGGAAACTTAAAAAAATAAAAGACCCAAAGAAATACTGAACTTACCATATTAAAATTTGGGCCAAATTTAAATTAACAACTGATAAACATTCACTAGCAGAATGGGTATTTTGTATCACTGTACTCGTACATAATTCACATCCTAAATTAATGGTACCCTATGTTTATACATTAAAATTTTTTTAAAAATGAAAACTGCAAGAACTCCACTATCTATGAAAGTAACAAAGCCAAATCTCACACGTTTTCTCTTTCTGTTTATCTTTCTTATGTATATAGACTAACATATTGGGTCAGTAACACAATATAGAATGTGCTACATAGCCAAGTTACTACCAGAGGGCGATCTCATGTATACACTGTCTGTATTAAATACAACTTCTGAATAAAATAGGCAAGAGATAGTAGCTGAACACATTCAAAAGTATTTAACAACTTGTTTCTCCTTTAAAAAAAAAGAAAAATTACATGAAAGGTTATGTCATAGTAGGAACTGGATTCAGTGACCCAGAAGGTCCTTCCAGTGATAGTTTCATATGTCCCTATGAGTGCCAAACATGTCAGAGTCACTTTAACTAGGCCCACCTAACATGACCAAAAAAACATTCCTATTTCTTTTTGAAGAGACACGTTTGCTTGACAGGCAGGCATCTGGAGAACGTAGGATTAAATGATGCGAGTATAAAGAACTTATACAGCAACATACTGAAAAAAAAAGATCCGAAACTCTGTTCCCAAGATATGTTACAATCTTTTTCCAGAATTAATTCAACACTCCAAACAAAACAGAAGGGTTCAGATAAGATGGACATTTGCTTATGAATTCCCTGTCACCTTTTCAGCTGCAATATGCAAAACACCAAACGATCCTCAGAATATTTGGTGCTGCAGGGACTAAGAGGATATTTTCTGTCCACTAACAGACATAACGGGAACTGGGAAAGCACAGGACTTATCCCAATAAAAGCCAGTAAAACAAAACAAAACAAAACAAAACAAAACAAAACAAAACAAAACATTTTAAAACCTTCACTGGAGCTTACAACAAGAAATTATTTTGAATTGAGAAAAGATCTTCAGCAAGCAGCTCCCACTGGACAATACAGTTACAGTACAGTATAACCCAGGGGTTTTCAACCTTTTTTTGAGCAGTGTACCCCCAGTGGCTGTTCAAGGAGTGGGGGTGGCAGGGTGGGGAGAAGAGTAGCAAGAGCCAGGTGCAGAATGGGGGTGAGGGGTGACGGCACAGAGAGGCAGTATGGGGTGGTAGGTGGCAGCAGCAAATCACATGCAAACTTCTCCCCCATGTCTGGCCAGCAGATCGGAGCTTCTTTGGCCAGTCCAGTTCCTGAGAGGCGGTGGCGCGGGATGGCAGCACTCCATTCCCACTCACCAATGTGCACTCCCTGGGATCTTTCAAAGTACCACCCCCATAGTTGACAACCCCTGGTATAACCTCATAAATCCAGCGTGCTCAGGACCAAACACTTACTGGAAATTTGAAAATACTGGATTTTTTAAACCAGTACAGTGGCTGGTCATGGAGCAGGGGAGGGGGATAGACATGACCAGTCCTGGAGCAGCGGCCGCACATGGAACAGCAGTGCAGGGTGGTGAATGGCGGCAGCAGCAAGCTTCCTCTTCAACATTTGGGAGGGCAGGGGGAAGCGGTGGCTAGTCCTGGAGCGGGGCGGGGGGGCAGATTTTTGATAATTCTGGATTTATGAGGTTATACTGTATTACTGTTCATTGCTAAATCAGATCATTCTGCAGGTCATCTATTTTCCCCCATAAACTCAGGGTTCACTCAATATGTGCAATCACACACAGCAAGATAGAGGTTATTTTCTAAAGAAGAGTAAATCAACAAGCAAAACTACTCTATTTTATAGAGAAGTCAGAGTTGATAGAAAAAAATATCTGGACTTTTCTTTTGGCTTACACATCCTCATTTTGAAGAAGCACCCTCTAAAGAAAAATACTGTTTGATTTTTGTGTTTAAAAAAGCCAGAAGCTTACTGCAGCAGGGAACAAAGTACTAGAATTGGAAAGATGTTTAATCTTCTGTTCACCCAGAAAATGACCAATATTTGGAAAAGTAAAGTAATCTCAGGGTATGTCTACACGGCACAATGAAATCCACGCAGAAAGTCATGATACCACAGGTGCCAAAAGCAGTACAGACTCCTAATCATAGTGTTTCTTCTGTACTAAGCACATAATCCGTTTCTCACCTCTCTCAAAAAGCTTAGGTAATTCTATACGACATTGTAGACACTCAAAATCATCTATCAGCAGGCAAACAACATGCCACTGATTCTTTAGTCATGTACATGATTGTATGCATTTATAGTGGGAATGAGGAGGAAAGTCTCTGCAGGTATTTACACAGTGCTCATTTTTACAGTCTTTGAGCAAGTGAATACTGAATGGCTCACATACATAAGTTATATCCTGGGAGACCATTTGCTTAGCTTTAAGAAAATGAGAAGCACTGCTGAAAACAGAGTTTAAATATTGCGATGGCTGTGCTTTAGAGGTCATCTGCCCACAATAACTAACTAAAGATTACATTTGGTATGCTGGCTTTCAAGAAGTTTTAGTTTCTAGATATGTAGTATTTGATCACAGCATATAAGCAAACTTACCTTTGAAACCAATTCTTTGGTTCTAAAAAATTTTTCCTTGGCATTTTCATAGATGGTTGAATTTGTAGAACCCTGCTGAAAGTAGATTGCACCCAAATCATAACAGACCTGAAATAATAATAATTTTTAAAAAAGATAATAGGCATTATAAACAATTTAGAACTCTTATAAAATACATTTCAATTTAACAAATTAGAATATTTATTGTTATATACAAAGGTATTTTAAATTATTCCCAGTTGCTTGATTTATGTAGTAGGAAAATTCTGCATCCTCCATTTGTTTTCTCTAGCACTAGACTACAAGTTCTTGCAGCAGAGAATGTTAAACTTCCAGCAAGTCTGGTAGCAACAGTAGTAGGACTGATAATTTCCTATATTGGTATCAAGGATGATGCCCTTTTCTTTTCTTAGAAGAGCAATCAGAGTTTCTGAAGGAACCCACAAGCAACAGTACATGTAGTAAAAAAGAGTAAAAAGTTTTAATGTGTTTTATTTAAAAAGAAATCCAAGTAATAATTGTATATGGATTAAACAAGGGACAAAAGAAATCTCAACAGAAGAATAACGTGCAGCAAAATGATACTCATGTGACATTTTGTAAGAAAAAAATATAGTAGAAGTGTTATAGGTTGAAACATGCCACATACCTGGCACTGTATTTCTTCAGCACTGATTTTCAAACCAGCTGTGGAACTCTCGGTTTCCCCATTCACCATACCAGGCTCCATGGCTAATAAATCCAGAGTTCTTATAGTGTGGACATACAGATCTTTGTTTAATTTAAGTGCTGCTTCAAGCACTAGGATGGAATCAGCAGCCTGCTCTTTCAACTACAACAGATCAAATACACACACAAATAATTCTCTATTTTAAACTTTCCTGTTGGGTTTAAAATTACCTATTAAAAGTGCACACATCCCTTACTTGCATTATCTTCTTAAAATGTAATCACAAATCATCACCATCAGCTACATTCTGCAACACCCGAGTAAACTTTAGGCCTTAAAAGATACCAAACTGAATAATAGGTAGATTCTGATGGTGCACTCCTTGTGCATTCAAAACTTTCATTTACGTCACTGATACTTTTTGGTGCACAGAACAAAGGAGTAGTTCTTTATTTTTTCACACAGATGCTGTTAAATTTTTAGGTGTCATTCAGTAAGCACTGCAGGGGGGAAAAACAAAAAAAAAAAAACTTACCCATTTCTTTTATGTTAGTTTCACTTCCTGGTTTTAGTCCTACCACTTTAATTTCCAGTTCATTAACAAGTTATTAATGTGACTGGACTATTATCACCTAGATAAATATTTTATCTAGAAAACTTTTTCCATTTGAATTTTTAAAATTACAGCATTTGTTTTTCTCCTAAATTCTAAGAAAGTTTATAGAAGTTTTACATGAATTTTGCACCCTTGAAGGAAATAATGAAAACAATTACAGGAAGTTCAACATATTAATGTAAAGTTTTTTGTCATATATATAAAAATGTAATTTCCCTCTTCAAATAGTTTATTGCCCAGATGTCTACTTAATCTGTGTGATGCCAAAAATACACTAACAAAAATGTGTTTCTATTATGCAATGCAAATTTCTTACATTTCCCAAAGAAGAGAGATATCAATATAAATTATAAAAGCAAAAAAAGGAAACAATGACAAAAGCAAATATGCTTTTAACCATGTGATGTTTAATAAAAAAAGTGAAGTTAGCACACTGCATATATATTATTATAATGCATATCAGAGGGTTAAATCCTTCTGTCTACTCACATCTATATCCAAAATCTAAACAAAAATTAAAAGAAAAATACTCACCACTTTCAAAATATTTTCTGTTAGTTCCTTTTCCTGTTGTATCTGGTTCATTCTAGAAAATAATTTCAAGATGGCAAGTCAAAATCCTGATGGTAAAGTAACAAGTTCTGGCCCCAGTCAGTAAGACAGTGCATAGGCACTGGATTCTACCCTTGTGGCAAAACTTTCAGCAGTCCTGGACAGACATACACTTGAAGTGCTCCAGTGACATACAGCCTTATGGCCAGCCTCCATGCTCCCCTACCATTGTGCTTCAAAAACTGTTGCAGCAGTGGTGTTCTCAAGCCAAGGGGCATAATAGAAGGTTGTTCAATCCTCTGGCAACCCAGGGGGAGAACAGAGTAAAGCACTGTGGGATTCTGGAGGACCAAGCAACCCCATGTTACACTCTACTGGAGCAGAGAGCTGCTTCAGGAAGTGTTTGAAAGATGTTCTTCATTTTTGAGGATCATTTCTGAGGCACTTTAGCCATTTCTGAAGTAATTCAGCTGTGAATGTCTGTATGTTTGCTGTCTGGAATACTGTAAGGGATTTTAGAAAGCTCCAAATAGCACATCTGTCAAGGGCCAGGACCTTAGCAATCCATCTTACCATAACTACAAGAATAATTTTACAGATTCACTTAAGTTTAATAGTCTCTTTAGTACACTATGAAAGAGAGAGATCAGGTTAAGAATAGGCCCTAATAAGTGGAAATTCAGAAGTAAAAAATCTATATGTACACCTATAAAATATTTTTATCAATTGTAAATGTCCCGTTACAAACCAAACCCTGAAGAAATTAAATGTCACCCCTTCATGATTCATTAAAAGCCCAATTATTTCTGGTAATTTTAGAATCACGGGTATATTAACAGTTTGTTTTTCCATTCAGAAACTTCTAATGTAGGGCCCATCTAGCGTCAGATAAGAGCAGATAGCTCCAGAGACTTACTCATCTTTCTTAAGAATTAACTTAGGGAACTGTTTTAACAACCAGGGAAAAATGCTGGAAGTCTACAAGTTATACTGTGAATATATCTGACAAAATATTTTAGGAACACATACACAGGGATTTACAGGAGGTAGTTTAAAAAACAAAACAACAGCTTGCTCAAAGCAACTTGGATTTTGATACTTAAACTATAAAACACTGTACAATGAAGTATTGTACAAAATACATTTTAAAAGAATTTGACCCTGGCAGAGGAAGGATCCCATAGTTCAGTCATAGAGGCTGGAACAGCATAACTCAAAACATTTATCCAACTTGGGATAAATCTAGGACTTGAAAAAAATACCCAACATAGATAAGACCAAAGATTATGCCTTCTGGCCAAAGAAATTCCTACTTTCATGTTTTATCAAACTCATTATAAAGCTATGTATATGGTGATACTTAAAATATATCTGACACCAAAAATAGTTTTATTTAAGACTTATTCTGAGTGAATTTATTTTACGCTTTCAGCAATAACTATGAGGTGCACTATTTACCAGAGCACCCCCAGGAGTAACTATGAATAATGGGTGCAAACTAGTGGTGAGTAGATTCAGGTTAGACATTAGGAAAAACTGTTTTACAGTAAGGGTGCCCAGAATCTGGAATGGGCTTCCAAGAGCAGTGGTATGATCACCTAACTTGGAGGTCTTCAAGAGGAGACATGACAGTCACCTAGCTGGGGTCATCTGACCTCAGTTCTTTTTCCTGCTAGGGGGGCAAGGGGTCGGACATGATGATCCTTTGTGATCCCTTCTGACTCTACAATCTATGAACCTATGAGTATGTTAACAGTTTTAAAGAGGTGCAGATCATAATGTGACTTAGTCAAGATGAATATTCAGTTTCTAAGCCATACAATGCTCAATGTGATGTCAATAACACTCAAAAGATTACTTGCTGACTTACATGTTTAATTGAGGTGGACCAGGTTTCACCAGTTTCACAGGAAAACTGCTTTGGACAATGGTCCTTATAGCCCTAAAGAAAAATAAAAAGTAAAAAGTTAAGTGAAAAATCACTAACTGGTCTCATCAGCATGATATATGCACAGCTTAAAAATACTTATGAATTTTTGTTTTTCTAAAAACTCAACAATTTGTACATGCTCTGAATGGTAGGGCAAATTAAGACATTTAATTCAGGAGCAATCATCATTTCTATGTAGAGGTGCATGGGTCCCATAGATTGGCACCAATATAAAGAAAATTGACAGCGTCGGCAATTGGCTTTTTTTTTTGGCTGATGTGGTCAATAACGTCACTGATAAGTGCCCCATGCATGCATGCATGCAGCTGCAGGACAGCGTGCAGGTGGCCAGGAGCGCAGAGAGAAGCATCTGGCTGGTAAGTCTGTTGTGGGGTAAAGGATGGGGGGGAAGGGGCATGGTGGGGGAGCTCCAGTGGTAAGGGAGCGAGTGGGGCTGGGGCAGGGCATGGGGCAATGCTGTGGCTTGTTTGGGAGGCACGGGGAGAGAAGGTGGCCCCCACTGCTGCATACACCTCAAGAAGGCATTGGGGGGGTGCATCCCCCAGATCTGTTTGCAAAGTGAGGGCAGGCTGCCGCCGCATGCTGGGGCCAGGGCTGCGCTGGGAGAAGAGCTACAGGCAGGAGGGGGTGGTTTGCAGACACCCCCAAAATTCACTGTAGTCCCCACTCCCAGTGCCGCTGCCCCACACGCAGCCCCGGCTTAACCCCAGTTCATCATGGCAGCCTGCCCTCAACCCATGCACAGACCTGGGGGTGCACGCCCCCTCACACCCTCCCAAGGTGTGCACAGTGGCGGGAGCCACCCTCCCTCCCTGCGCCCCCTGGACAAGCCATGGCTCCATCCTAGATGGGCAGTGCCTGCCCCAGCCACAGCTCTACTCCCTCTCTCACCACAGGGATCTCGATCTACGTCCCCCACCCCAACACCCCTTGCCCTCACAACAGACTTACCAGCTGGACACAGGCTATACATTTACCTTTACATTTACAGTTACAGATGATGTGAAGTTTCTCTCTCATCTGAATATATAACATAAAAGTGAAAGGTAAAGTTTCAAAATTGTTAGCCAACACTATATATTAGGATACCCATCAGAACAAAGAAGTTCAGCTTTTCTTTTAACACCTAATCTGGTACCACTATTAAAGTCCTAATAATTAAGCAAATATTTCCATTTATACTAGAGTTGTCACAATAACCTAACCAAGAAAGGTAGTTTACCATCTGTTGTACAGCAGAATAGCCATTGCAGTGGTTGGGGGTAAGTTGGACAGGTCCATGTCTACATGTTTAGTTCCTGGAGGAACTTTGCTAATGCAGAGAAGTTCATTCAGCAGCATATTCAGCACAGGAACTGACAAGCTAAAAAAAAGGAGGGGAGGGGAGAAGAGACAAAAAAATAGGATTGTACATGTCACATAAAAGTCTTGCTTCTAGTTTGTATCCTACGCAACTGCATATACTAATACACAGTAAAGACAAAGAGGTTGCTCCCGATTCAAGACAACCTGAAAGATATGCAACTGAATGACGATGGACATTATTACAACTGAAGTTTCAGTCTGCTGAAACAGTATAGTTACCTTGAGAAGACAGGAAAGCAGCACTCTAGGATAGTGTTTCCCAACCAGTGTGCCAAGGCACACCTGTTCATTTCTGACAGCATACTTTTGTGCCACGGAATTTTGCCACGGCAATGAGCTTCAGTAGGTATGAGGATGGGGAATGCCTTAAAAGGTGTGCTGCGGAAAAATTTTATTGATTTAAGGGTGCCTGGGGCTGGAAAAGGTTGGGAAACACTGCTCTAGGATTTTAAAGGTAGCTGCAATTCCAACTTTGCCTTACAGAAAGTCTGATGTCCAAATAACTGACCACTTCCTGCTCATCAACTCTCAGATTTCAGACAACTATATTAAAGAATATACTGTCCTTTGGGAGAGGACTAAAGCAACTTGTACTCTGACTGCACATTTAGAAAAATACATAAACAAGCATTCAAGCACCAGAGATTAGTGAGAAAAGAGAATAACTAAAAATACATACATAAGAGCACCCACCCCACTTCATAAAATTGGTCCTGAAGAAAATCATATGCTCCAAATTACATTTAAATGTAGTAAGTTTCTATGCAGCTTTCCAAAGAATGCATGGGTCTTAGACTTTTTCAGTTAAATTATTGGATTCTTCAGAACTAAAAATTATGAGAATTTAAACTCTGGAAAGCTTACAGTTCAGTAGAAGACAAATGAAACAAAGGTAAGGTGGAGAAAGAAAAAGGTTTTCAAGAATAAGACTGAAGTTACTTAGGTAAGTCACATGCACATCTTGATACAACAGTTTTGCTTGCTCTCTTTTTAAATAATCGCTATGTTAATTCATTTTAAAGGCACTGTATTCATCCTCTTTACAGACCTAGGTTTTTTTCATCAAGGCTCACATTTTACATGCTCACAAAAGATAAAACCGCTATACTGCAATCAACTCAGACACCTCTCCTCTGAAGCACTTTAAAACAAGACACAGATGAAACAAAGGGTAGAGCCCATCACCAGCATGTTAAAATACAGAAAAATTTGCACCTTGTGTCAGTTCAAGAGTGCTCAACTCTCATCCCATGGCCATATCGGGCCCACAGTACAGCATCATGAGGCTCACCAGGGTCCCCACAGCCTCAAAAGTTTGATGGCAGACCAGTGGTAGTGTTAATTACTACTCCCCTGCTGCAAAATTTCTAGACCAAATGGCCAGACACTATGGCTTTGTGTATTACATCAGTCCTACAGAACCAGCCCCAGGCAGAGCAGGGCTCAAACCCATGCACTGACCTCACTTTTGACCCACAGACCAGTCCACGCTATTTGCTTGGTTTGCAGGGCCAAAAGGCTAAACCACTGTGTCAGTGTAATACTTCAGCTTGAAATGTACAGGCAGTACCTTCTCTCTAGTATATCCAAGTCCCATTTTAAATGTGCAGCAACTTTAAGAGCAAGAAGTTTTAAAATACGGTTTCTCTTGTTATCAGGGGGCGGCTGAACCTGGTTCTGTTCATTCAGTGAAGGTTTGGAAGCTTGTTCCAAGAACTGGATAATCAGTTGAACAGGGGATGGATCTAAAAAACAGGAAAAAAAAAAACCCACAGCAAAAACAACCATTTTTTAAACTTCATTTTTAGAGAAAGACACAAAATACAGCATACTGAAATTTCAACCGTGAATGATGTACAGAAAGCAGGCTTTTTGGTAGTATTTTTTTCTTGAAGGCTTCATCTAACTGAGTAGAGTTTTGTACTGAACTGAGCCACCAGATGAGAACATTTCCACGCAGTTTGAGCCCACAGTCAGGTAAGAGCAGGGAAAGAAACGGGTTAAATATTGATTCTGAACAGGAGTGAATGCCTTCAAACTCTTATTAAAGCTTCTATATCATAGTTATAGAATTTAAGGTCATAGAGAATAGGGCTGGAAGGGAAGTCATCTAGTCCAAACCCCTGCCTGAGGCAGATCCCTATCCAACCATCTAGGGGTGCACCGCTAGATTTGGAGGGGGGGGAGCAGGCACATGTGCTTCCACATGTGTGGTGGGGTAGGCTGTAGCCAGGGATGTATGGGACTCTTCTTGGCGGGGGCTGAGCTCGGAACAGGCACCTGTGGCGCTGGGAGGATGCTGCATCCCCCCACAAATTTCACCACTGCTCCACTCCCAGCGCTGCTGCTGCCAGCTGCCTGGTGCAGCCCCAACTCAATACCCTGCCTCCACTCATGCACCAGGCAGAGCCAGGGCTGCACCTCACAGTGGCGACACTGGGAGCAAAGTGGCAGTGAAATCTGGGGTGGATGCAGCATCCTCCCAGTGCTGCCGGTGCCTGCTCTGAGCCCAGCCCCCGCTACACAGATCTGGGGGGCACATGCCCTCCCCACCCCAGAAGCAAGCAGCAGCAGGAGCTGCCCCAACACACAAGCCACGGCTCTGCCCCCCTGGCCCTCTCCAAGCAGTGCCTTCCCCTGTCCCCTCCCTCACCGCCATGCCCCTCCCCTCCCCTTGCACCACATGGACTTACCAGCTGGGGGCAGCTTTCCACACTGTGTTCCTTGCTGCCCAAGTGCAGCGTGGGCATTTATCGGCCAAATTATTGGCCCCATCCTGCCAATAACCGATAGAGCCAGTTTTCTTTATAATCGGTACTGATCCAATAATTTGACTGATGTATCAATGCACCTCTACAACCATAATCTAAACTCTACAAAAGACTCCCCTCAATTTCAATGCACATAAACCTAACTCTCTAACCTACCACAGGTAAAGCAGGGGAACCATAACAGCTAATGTCCTGCTTTTATAAAATGTTATCACTATATGCTCAAGAGGTCCTGGGCAAAAGGGCCATGCCCCGTGTTACAGAGTGAGGCAAAAACTCCAATTCATACCAGTCTGACCATGAGGTAAAATTCCTTCCTGACCCCCAAAATGGCAACTGGTCTGACCCTGAGCAGAGAGGAAGGCTCTCTAGCCTGGAATCTCCAGCTTCTGTCCTAGCAGGAGAATCGGCACACCCCAGTCAAAGTGGCCAGTCTTAGCTGTAGACAACACCCAATGCCTCTGGAAAGGCTTAAAAACACCCTGACATGTACAGCAGGAAAAAAGAGGGGAGGGTGGGGGAGTGGGAGCAACCAGCAATGCCCAGATGCAGGAGAAATACCAATGGCAGAAAACAGGCATAGCCACACCTATATCATCCCCAACCAGTGGCTGTCCAGCCCCTTCCTGAACACCTCCAGTGTTCAACTTAAAAAAATTAAAGTACAATCAGCTTAGTCTCCTTCAGAGACCTCCAAGGAACTTTCTTACTGCAATCTCTGTTGTGCTAACATCCCAGGAAAACATGTTTTCCTCATTCTAAACAGAGATTATTTTAGCACTATATGTTTAAGAGGACACAAGTTCTTGACACAAGCAAGATTTTAAACTAAAATATTTTATGTATAAACTTACCAAAGTCCCTCAGACAACTGTGGGGTTTTACGATGCCAGGAAAGTATTTTTAAAAGGGAAATTGATGGTGCCTCCCAGACATTTATTACATAAAAACATAAGAACTGCCAATAGTGACACATAGGGCGTGCACACGGGTGCATGTGCACACAAAAAGGTGCCGCCGACAGTCGCCATTCGCCCTCCCCTTGCTGCTGACACTGCCAGCGGTGTCTGTGGGCAGTCAGCTACCACCGCTGGACGCTGCCGGTGGCATCTGTGGGTGGTTGTCAACCCCTGGTCGGCGCTGACCCCCATCACTGCTGACTTTGCCAGTGGCGTCTGCAGGAGCTCCCTGTTTACTGCCCCCACACTCCCGCCGTGTCCCCCCAGCTGCCAGGGGCACATGTCATTCATGAGAACTGCCGTTGACTGGGTCAGACAACAGGCCCATTTTGCCCGTTTTCCTGTGTCTCACAGCAGCAGAAAGGGCAAACGAACTGGGCATGACCAGGGTTTCCCCCCTGCTCGTCTCTCACTTGCAGCCTCCAGCACTGTGAAGTCTTAGTTCAGAGGCCACCCCGCTACTTCCCAGGCTCGATAGCTACCAATACTATTTTCTTCCCAAAATTTGCCCAATCTCCTTTTTAAGTCTAGCTAAGCTATCAGCTTCTCCAGCATCCGCCGCCCCCAGTGCCACCCTCCACTGCCCCGCTGGATGAACAACTTCCTTTGGTTAATTTTAACTTGCTACCTGCTGGTTTCCTTTGGTGACCACTTGTTCTTGCGGTGCAAGAGCCAGTTTAAATACATCCCGACTGGCTTTCTCTTCACCCTCAATCTCTCTCAAGCCCCCTCAAGCCTCTTGTGTAAACTGAGCGTGCGACCCGGCAGGGAAGCCCCACACGCCCCAGGCAGCCTCGCTTCCCCTCGCTACTTCTCCTTTCCTATGCGGGGGCCGCACCCGGGCTCGCGCGACCGCCGGCATCTGGTTACGTGAAAGCCCCGCTCGGGAGGGAAGAGCTACGACATGTGCCTGTAAACGCCGGAACCGACCAGAGCCGACAAGCCCGGGACCCGCGCCCAGGGACCGCGCCGGGCCCGCAGCGGGACGCGGAGAGGAGGGCGGGTGGGCGGACGAAGCGGGACTGACCGGGCGCGGCCTTGCGCAGATGCGTCTCCAGCAGGGCCTCCTCCAGCAGGAACTCAAACCAGGAGGTCTGCGGCGGGGTGCACGGCCGGCTCGACGTGGCCGCCTCCCGGTCTGCAGCCTCGGCGCTCATCCTCAGTCAGGCCCAACGCCTGCACCCAAGATGGCCGCCGGCGCCCTCGCTGCCCCTAAAGGGGCGGGGTCTCCGCTCAGCCCCGCCCAGCCCTCCTGTGATTGGCCATTTACGGGGAAGCCCGTGAGGGGGTGGGGTATCTGCTTAGCTCCCCCAGTCTGATTGGTCCCTCTGGGAGCCAGGCGGCGGGGCTCGGGGAGGTCCCGCCCCTCTTCTAGCGCAGTAGGTCAGCGGCTGAGCCGGAGAATCGTCCTCAGGTGGGGCCCCCGCGCTGGCGCCCTGTAGGGGCTAGGAGTGGCCAGAGTCCCTTCCTCCCTATACGCGGAAGGAGCAGCGCAGATTTCTGTCTTGATGGGTTCCCGGCCTCCTCCGAGGGGAAAAAATCGTCGTCTACGGGCACAGGACAATGAAACTACGGCAGGCGTGAGGGGGTGGCAGCATCGGACCCGGTCTGCATCGAGTATCGTTCGTGTAGACGTACACCTGCGTCCTGCCCACAGACGCATCAGGCGCCCCTGCGGCATGGTGCATAGACGGGCACGAGGCAGCCCAGCTCCGCGCTCGGAATTGGTTCCGGAAAACCAGGCATTAAGCGGGCCCGCTCGAAGCAAAACCCGTTTCCCCCATAGGATTTAATGTAAATACACAGAGTTTTGGTTACCTCCAGTTCAGCCATGTGCTAGCCTGGTCTGTGATCCTGCCCCTCACCCCCCCGCTGGCCCTGGCCCCAGGACACCAGCAGGGCCCTGCACGCACCCTTGTCTACCCACTTGCCACTTCTTGTCACTGCCATCGCCGCTTCTCCCCCACCTGCGCCATGCTGTAATGGAAGTCACTGAGCGCAAAGTGGAAGAAGGTATATATTTAAAATGAGCACTATAGCAAAATAGCGTGAAGCAAAACCACGTTAAGTGGGGGGTGCCCATATCACAAAAGTTACCATGGGCAACTGGTGCCTCCTGAGTCTGGGGGAGCACCCACAGAAGCTGGTGGCAGGAACAGGGCTCACGAGCACCTGCAGAAGCCTCTGGTGGTGGCAGGGGACGGCCCTGTCAGGAAGGGCACAAACCCCCCTAATTGCCTATGCAAGTAACTAGCCAATCCTGCAATAAGTTTAGACCAGCAATACGGTCTCAGTAATTACCACATGATAAATGTGACTACCCAGCTTTAAAGAGCTAACCAGCTGTAAAGTTAGTGCTTGAAAACATGTAACAATTCTAGAGCTGGTTTCTATCCAGGTTTCATTTGAATGGGTAGCTGGGCCCATTTGAACCAAATTACACTCTATCTTAGCCTACAAAAAAGCCCAGAAGTGATGCTGCTAAGTAAGCTTCTTTCCCAGGACAGAATTTACCAATAAGAGAATCATGCAGATCTTTTACTGCATTTCAAGCACATGAGACAACAAGGAAAGGTTAGATGTACTGCAGAAAGTTTATCTTTGTTTTCTTTAAATGTACCCAATATCAGATTTTTTTTTTAAAGAGGAAGGAAGGGGCTGCCTCACTGAAGGTTTTACATTCAGTGGTTTTTCTTACTAACACAACGTGTACAAGAGTACTGCCAGTGTAAAAGCAGGCAATGTACTATTTAAAAAAAAAGTAAAGGGATATGCACAGGTGTGCGCTGTAGGAGATAAATGAAGTAAGAACAGGAGACAATTACTGACAAAAGAAACAATGTTTTTATTTAACACTTCTGAATCTAGTTATGATTTTACATTCCAAAATAAATAGTTTTATGTAAAAAGAGGCTCCTCCACCTGTGAAGATCAACTTGGTAGGAATCAGTTTAATATTAGGGGGGAATAAAATAAGTGTCCTGCATGCAAGCATTTAAATCACAGTAATTCATTTCAGCCTACATAATAAAAAAGATGTTTCATAAAAAGCTATTCCTGTTCTATGGAAGTCCTATGTTTCAAAGTTTTTAAGAAAGCTCACATATTAAAAACCTTCACATTTCTACCTTTCAACAGCGATTTATACAGTTCATATAAAGAGATTCTGTGTTCAGATTATCACTGATGGGAAGGGTGAGCAATTCATATTATATTCATTCTGTACTAAGGGCTTGTGTCAATAAGGTATTTAACTGGATTTGAGACACTTCGGTATCTTGTAAAATACTGAGTAAAGTTCATTTCACAGCAGTGCAAGGGGTTCCTGTTTCCATCTATGAGCGCTGATTTGAGAGCTTATAGAGTTCTTTCAACTTGTCAAACTTTGTTCCCCACTTTTGGATGTAATCATAATTTAGATCTTCATCAACATTAGTGGAGTCTAAGGAACTAAGGCTCCCTGCTAGAGAACACTGCCCCTCTAAGCAGTAAAAATGAACAGTGTCTGCTGGAAGACTGTCTAGGTTGTGATCTGCATCCCACACTATTTGAGAGATGTATTCCCTGAGGTCTGGAATATTGGCACCTGCAGAATGAGATTGTTTTCGATGTGGTCGTTCTCGAAGTGAATGTTTCTCTGGACCAGTATGGGTTCTGAAGTGTGGAGCATCAGTTCCTGAGGAGAACTGGGGACTGTTTTGCAGAGGTTTCCTTAATTCATCTATATCATAAGTATTCTGAAAAAAAAGGTAATGCACATATTAAGAGAAATATAAAAGCAGACACCCTATGTAGCAAACCATGGCATTTCTTTAAACCCACAAATGAAACTTAAGGTAACTGGAGTTCTTCATAAGCTGAAGAAAAGAAAGAGATGGCTTGAAAAGGGTTATGCCTTCACACTGGACAAAATTCCTTTAACTACTCAGAGTAGCTGGGTGAAGGCTGCATGCTTTATAAAACATATTACAAGTAAATTCATTCATTCACCTCCAAGCTGCCAAGTCTCAAAAGAACAAGTCACATGTGATACAATGGAGCATCTATGCCAAGTCACAACGAAAAAGGTTAAAGATATTTCAGGCCCCAAATAATGATATAGGTAGGTGTGTACCTCTAGGATACATTTAAATGTACTAAAGATTCTTGATAACAAGCATTATGGGACAGCAATGGGATTTCCCCCACCTGGTTCTCCACACTTAAAAGGATGGTGGCTGTGAAGCAAGGCTTTGAATGAGATGGGAAGAACAAAATTAAGGGAACATTTGACATCACGTGCGGCAGAGAGGGGGCTGCTGTGGAAAGTTCTACACCCCAGTGAACTCACCAAATTTCTATTTTTTTGGAACTGGTATTTTTTAGTACTAGTTTAGAATCACTCCCACAAATATAACATGCACTACATTTCCCTCTAGCGCACTATGGCGACAAAGCTTTAGGGGGCACAAGCCATACCACAGCTATGTTGCAGTAGCAACGTACTCCCTCAGTATAGCGCGTTGCTATGACAACATAGAAGCTAAAAATAACTGCACTGTGGGCACAATGCAGTATGGGCTGTTACTGCGCTGTCATTAAGAAAGTACTACGTGACGGCACAGTTATAATGGTGTTGTAGGGCCACAGGCAGACGCATAGACGCATGCACTATGAAGTAGCTGAGTAGAGTTATGGCTGAATATCAGAAGAGCCAGCTGCAGCAGTGAGGGGTGATGGGAGGAGAAACGATGCAGCGTGGTATGCATGGAGGACCAACTAGCCCCCTATCATTCCATGTCATATTTACCTACAAATTCTTTTCAATCGAATGAAGTCATTTTTTCCCTAGGATCCTGAAGCACAATCCAAATAAATGGCATTTCTTTTATTGTTACTACCCACTTGTGGTGCAAAAAGCACCCTCTTCACTTTCCCTTCTATTTCACAAGTTCTTATACTGTAAGTGCCATGTACTTTAATACACAGTGAGCCTGCCTTAAGGAGATTAAAATCTAATAAAAATATATGACATGAGAAACAGCTTTTGGGTAGCAAAGGTTTATTTAAGCAACATCACCCGGATACTTTAATCCACAACACACATTTGAAAACTCCTGAGGCGTTTGAAATGATAATTCCTTGCTTTTTCAAGATGCCATTTATCGGAAGGGCAGACAAGATAGCTATTTGGGCATGGCTAGCTAGCTGTTTTAAATATGGTAGCAATGTTGTTCAATACCTGGTCATGTTCTCCATCTCCTTCCTCATTATAATTGAAGGCATTTTCTCTAACATCCTCCCAGCTTTCATGAGTTTCACGAATGTGGTAAATTCCTCCTTTCCGAAACCCTGATGTCCCCCATTGACTCCACACTGTATAGGAGACCAACAGAGCTGGAATACATACAGATATTTGTTATGTGGCATATGCCTTTCTGTGAAACCTAATTCAATATGAAAATAATGTGATGAAATTGGTTAGCATTTTAATGTGATGACTGCATTCCCAGATAAAAATGCATTGTTTTATCCCCAGTATCTAATTAAAACAAAAAGTATGCTCTTCTGGAAGGTAATGAATCATTTATACTGTATCTTACATCATAAACTTCATTAAAAGGGTATTTTACTTACCTACAGGAATCCATTAGGACATTTAAATAGAAGGCATTTTGGCCAATCTCTGGCCTTTCACCAGTCCTAAGTAAATAAGATACCCAAAGTAAGTAAAACACTGTTTTAATGAAGATTACAAGCGTACTATCATTTGAGTCATTACTTTTCTGAGATATGTAACTTTTTCACTGCTAGTATGGAAGGTAATATTTACTTTAAGGAAGAAGTTAAACAATGGAGTATAAAGTAGAACTTAGTTATTTTCATAGTCCTAGATCCAAAGGTTCTCCTTCAATCTTCTTTAAAACCATTTGAACATCAGCTATTCCTGAACTAACACAGAAATAAGGAGAAGAGACTATTTACTATCCCCTCTGAAGGAAGAATGTGCAATGTGCAGCAACCTGTAAGAGCCCAGATCCTAGCAATCCTTCAATCTTTTGCTAGGGTCAGAAATAAGTGAGAACATAACCCTCCTCCAGCCAATACAAAAAGGATGTCACTGTGGTGGTTTCCAAGACCTTCACCAATTTAAATTTTTGATTACTATGGGCTTAATATAAAGACTTCATATCACTGCAGAGGGCAAGATGGAGTGATTAGGAACAACCTAGAAGATGGAGCAGAAGAGAGAAATGTCTGCCAAAAGGAGTGTCCACAGGGGATGCATACACATGACCAGAGTAAATAGGACTGGATGCTGAAGCAAAGTTCATTCCACAGAAGTCAGGCAGGACCCACTGGGAAATTTCTGCCTAGACCTCTCTGATAGGAAGCTTAATTGAAGTGCAATTTTCACAGAGGAAGGCTGTGTGTTTGAGGGGAGGAGTGCATGTGTAGAGCAGGGAGTGGTGGAGGGAGCAGCTTGAATCTGAATGAGGATGCCTATTCTGTGGTCCTGGTGGACAGACCACAGATTTTTCCCCACAAAACTGGTACCCTCCATTCATTATTACTGAAGTGACATGCCACTGTTTCAGGATTGCAATACAGCTTAGGGTTAGGAGAAAAATACTTTATTTCCTACCTAAGAAGACAAGGAGACACATGCTGATTGCCAGGATTGAGCCAGAACTGAGTCCCACTGGTCTTCCTGCTTTCACTTGGCTGATTTCACACCATCGTCCTTTGTAACCCTCAGGACATCGACAGACAGCTTTGTCTTGGGACTGTGCCACGCAGGTTCCCCCATTCCTACAGGTCCAGTGCCCACAGGGTGAAGTGGCACAGCGTTTAAGCCCTGTAAGGTTATCTGTCACCTGTACTTTGCCCGCCGGGCACCTGCATGATGAAAGTTAAAGGTTCTTATAAGTGGCAGTGGGGCCAAGAATTGTGTTCTGCTTTGTAAATGCTGTGCAGTAAGTGTTCCTCAATTCCACATGCTCCTTTCAGTTGTTTCTTCAAAACAAATAATAAAGGTTTTTAAAATAAATCAGAAGACCATGTCACTGAAAGACATGAACACAATGGGCATTCTAGGTATTGCCTAGGCTAGTCTGCCCCATTTTGCTTCACAGCACTGTCACAGCACCCAAGGAAAATGCAAAAAAGTTAGGCAGATACCTCCAAGAGCTTTTCCGTAAAAAAGGGAAGCATCCCAGATTCCAAACAGGACCAACTCTAGCAGGAGAAGTGTGATAATTTCCTTTCTTCCAAAAGCATGGAATTTACAGAGAGGAAGCTGGCAGGATTCAACGAAGGGTAAACACACTTGTGACACCAGCAGTAGTGACTTGGGCATTCTGGGTGGAGGATTCTCATCCCCACCCAGTCACTGGTCTTTTTGGGACCTAACTTGGGTAGGAAAAGCATCTGGTACACTTGTGTTCCTTATCTTCCAATACAAAAATGGAAAGATAATTCTTAACAGCAGAGACGCCTCCCCTTTTTCGGCAGCAGAAGGTAGGCTAATTGCCACACGATTCCTAAGCTTGGGAGAGACCCTTGGAATGTCTGCCATAGACATGAATTGAACACAGGATGAAGTTTTGGACTTGTCCTCACAAAACCCTTTAAAAGCAAAGACTGGTTTGGGGGCCCCTAAGTGCTGAAGGTGACTGATTTCCCCATGCCTTCCCCAACCTAATCAGCTGAACTACAGGAAACATTTTAACTGTAATGGACACTTGTACTGGTTTTATGTTTAGTAAAAGCTCCTTTTAAGACCTCTGTATTTGGATCTACAAGTAATCTAATAGTTTCTCCTCAAAGGCATGATCCAGTTTTCTCTGATTTTAAGTCGCTCCAGTGTATAAGCCAGCCCATGTAGGAAATGTGCTTTCAGCATATGACCAGTTGTTACTAATTCTCATTAGTGTATGGGAATAAGGAACAAAACTTCTCCAAACCCCATTTTACTCAAAAGGCCTTTCATTTCCTTCTCACTATTTGGTCTGTTGAATATTGTTTGAAATGCCACAGAAATCTTATTGTACTTACAAACATAAGATGCCAAAGGATTTAGTGGGAAATAAAGTTTGGTCCAGACAGACACACAAAGAGAGGAACAGAACTGGTTCTTGGGACGCTTTCCCTGGCCAAAAGCTGCAGTAGGAGCAGCAAGAAGTTTCACTGATCGCTGCAGTCTGCTTAGCCTTTGGTAGATAAAGACTGGATCCCAAGAAAGCCACCCCACACTGGCAGTGGAAAAATACTGAGTATACCTGCACTCATACTTTCTCCACAAATCTACACAATGCAAAGGACTGTAACAGGGCTGAGTACTGCAGGCATTGGAATGACAACCAACGGTGACGCCTCGGCGCTTCAGAATTAAGCCAAACTCTGTACTTTTGCCATCAACAAGAAGAGGATAACCATTCAACTGGGCATCACAAAGGCAGCCTACACATTGCAGCAGAAGAACACAAAGAGAAACATCGTGTTAGACAAAAACTCCCTCAAAGCATGAGGATATTACAAAATTAACTGTGATCTGCAAGATATTCAGGATCCTGACCTCAGGATATGGTCCCTTTCCTGTGTGCTTGTGTGACAAGGTATTTTAGCAGAATTTGCAGATTTGTTGGAATCTGACAAGGCTGAGCCACAAGTGCTTCTGCTATGGCCTCAAACTTGAGCTGTCAACCACATGCCTCAGCTCTTGTGCCACTCCAGCCCCCAGGATACAAGGGAAATAGCCTAATGTTTTACCTTAAGATGCCCTCCTCCAAGGGCATATTCCTGTGTACCCTCCTGCTTGCTGGCCCTTCATGACATCATACTGAGTCTCCCGTGGAGCTTGGAGGCCATCTGTTGCAAAGCAAGAGTCTTGACTAAGTCCCCCCTTCTTTCACTCTGCTACAGTCTGAGTCAGATGCAAAGGGGGAAACCACCCCAAGGGGCAGTGATTGTTCTCTACTCTGCCAGAAGCTCAGTACACTGAACTTCTCACTGGGCTTAGCCCAACCCTGTGATGAACCCTTGAACAAACTTTCCCCTCACACTAGGCAACAAATATTTGGATGCATCTGTGACAGGCTAGCTGGTACTGACTTAACCCAGGGGTTTTGAAAGGGTAAAAAATGATTGGAGGGCTTGGGATTCCCTTTCCTCACCAGTCTGGTAATGATTTTGCCCAGGGGTTTTGAAGGGGTAAAAGATGATTGGAGGACTTGGGATTCCCTTTCCTCACCAACCAGGCCCCAGAGACTCACCCCCCCACCGTGTCCCAATCGGCCCCTTGGGTCACCTGGAGGGGAATAAAAGGGGCAGCGTGGGCTGACTCACGGGAGAGACCAGCGAGGGACAACAAGGAAGGAGCTACACAGAGCTGGCAAGAGTTGAGCCAGCGGGGCAGGAACAGTGCCTGGAAGAGCCTGAAAGAGCAGGACCTACAGGCAGCAGTGGGACCCTCAGCAGCGCAGCATGCAGCCGGCAGGGGAGGCTCCCTACTGGGCTCCAGGATTGCCTATGAGAGGCTGCAGCCAGCAGGAGAGGCTCCCCAGCTCCAGCAAGGATCTGAGCAGTGACCTGAGAGGTTCCCAGCTCTGCTTCCAGCTCCTCCAATCAGAGGTCAGGCAGCTTGATGTGAGGCCGGGGCTCCTGGAAGGCCAAGACCCCTAGCAGCCTGGGCCAATACCACCAGTGGTGACTGTGTGGTAGAGTTTCTGCCTACCACATAGGACAGCCAAGTTCAAGTCCCAGGTGGGGTAACTTGGGGTGAGTGAAGTAACAGGGAGAAGTTCTTGTTGCAGTGGAAAGGGGCCATTCTTTCCCCCACTCCAGGTACTCAGGCCCTATATTTATTGTCATTTGACTTTTCGTATTTTGTGCCTTTTATATTTCACCAACTAGTATTGTTTGTTCTGCTGTTTGTGTTTTATATTTTGCTAACCCTGTCTTTTGTCAACTGGATGAATAGGTCTGTGATTGTAAGCATCTAACTTTTGTTAAATCCTGCCCCCTCGGGGCCTTGTAGTGTCCCCTTTACCCCCTGGTTTATACTGGTTATGTTTCCAGTACTGTTCTCTCATTAAAAGGTATACGCTTAAGGTCCCATTGGTGGTCTGGCTCTGCTCTATAGGGGAAGGAGAGTCCCTACACCTCCCAGAGCACTTGTGCACCTGCTTTGATCCCTTCAACTGGAGACGGGGTACCTCTTGGAGTACCACCCAGGTTATACATCTCTTCCTTTTCCCTTAGGACTGGGGGCTGAGGTGGTGTGAAGGCCTCTGGATGGTCCTCCTTCAAGACTGGGAATAGATTGGAACATACGTATTCCTGACTTGTTGTATTCTGTGAACATCAACACTGGAAGATGTCACAAATCAAAATTTACATCCATTAAAGGGCAGAACATTAACTCTGAATTTCCTGCCATAGGCTCAGATCTTACATTTCATAGATGCTCTAGTCTGTGGTTTTATGGTCTCCAATGACAGAATGTCCTCAGAATGTCATTTCTGTGGTTTTAAATTTCTCTTTAAATTTCCATGTCACCTACCTTGGAAATCACTTTCTGAGTGGTTAGGAAAGCGGTTTCCTAGCACAACACTTGCCAGATCCATCTGAAACCACTTGTCTGTACCAACAAATGCAGTCACTTCATGATCCCCTCCACCATTGTTAACACGCAGGGTAAACTCATTGTTATAGCGCTCCATGGTCAGCAAAACCCACTGGCCATTGTTTATGCGTAATGCGTTCAGCCTCAGAGAGTGTTCTTTGTCCCCCAAGTTGAAGTTAACACCGAAATGTCCATCCACCATCTGCAGGCACAAATACATGCACATGCTTACGCCAGAAGTGCCTTAGCATTACATAAAAACCCTAAATCCTAATCAGTGTAAAGTGCTTTCTAACCCTGCCAAATAGTACTGCTCCAGCTGTGTAAGAATCAGTCCTCAGAGAAAATGTTCATCTTCGAGGAATAGGCACTTTTAAATATACAGAAAATGCACCTGCACAATCACTGTGTTACATGGCAAATTAACAGCAGTCAGAATGGCTTTTTGATAGTTTACCTCCAGTCTAATGTATCCATTCCCATCTGTGGATGCCATGCTGAGAAGGGTGCTGAAGGCAATCCGGGTGCGCACCATGAGTTGGATCTGGGTGGTGTGGGCACTAAGAGTGTTTTTCAGATCATAATGAATCCAGCTGTCCCGTCCAAATGCCCACTCTGGGAGAACTATGTGCAACACATGAAAAATAGTAATTTAATCATCTTAATACTTAGTGTGACGGGCTAGCTGGCAGTGACCTAGCCCAGGGGTTTTGAAAGGGCAAAAGATGATTGGAGGACTTGGGATTCCCTTTCCGCACCAATCAGGCCCCAGAGACTCACCCTGCCCCCCCACCTTGTGTCCCGATTGGTCCCTTGGGTCACCTGGAGGGGGATAAAAGGGGTAGCATGGGCTGACTCACAGGAGAGACCAGCGAGGGGCAACAAGGAAGGAGCTTCACAGAGCTGGCAAGAGTTGAGCCAGCAGGGCAGGAGCAGTGCTTGGAAAAGCCTGAAAGAGCAGGACCTGCAGGCAGCAGTGGGACCCTCAGCAGTGCAGCATGCAGCTGGTAGGGGAGGCTCCCCACTGGGCTCCAGGATCCCCTATGAGAGGCTCCCCCCGCTCCAGGAAGGATCTGAGCAGTGACCTGAGACGTTCCCAGCTCTGCTTTCAGCTCCTTCAATCAGAGGCCGGGCAGCTTGACATGAGGCCAGGGCTCCTGGAAGGTCAAGACCCCTAGGAGGCTGGAGCAGCACCACTAGTGGTGGCTGTGTAGCAGTGTTCCTGCCTACCATGTGGCAGACCTGTGTTCAAGTCCCAGCTGAGGTGAGTTGGGGGTGAGTGAGATAACAAGAAGCAAATCTTCTTGCAGTAGAAAGGGGCCATTGTGTTTTTCCTCCCCTTCCAGGTACTAAGGCCCTATATTTCCTTATCATCTGACATTTTGTATTTTGTGCCTTTTTATATTTCACTAACCTGTATTGCTTGTTCTGCTGTTTGTGTTTTATATTTTGTTAACCCTGTCTTTTGTCAATGATTAAGTGTCTAACCTCTGTTGAATCCTGTCCACTATACCCTCTGACTTATGCCTGTTTATGTTCCCAGTATTGAAAGGTATATGGTTCAGTCCCCACTAATAGTCTGGCTCTGCTCTATAGGGGGAGGAGAGTCCCTACACCTCCCACAGCACTTGTGCACCTGCTTGATCCCTTCAGTTGGAGAGGGGGTACCTCTTGGAGTACCGCCTGGGTTACACAGACGTTAACAATTCTGTCCTCAGAGTAGGATTTGAATATTTTGCAATAAATAAGGAAAATGGCCCCTACACTGAAGAATAAAGATAAAATAAAGTATTCAATAG